TCACATCCCAGATAACTGGAAATCTGTAATAGACAGCATGGATATTTTCAAATTCATAATTAACTTGTAAACCTATTAAAACTACACTTTACCAACAATTCATTTGACCGAAAACGTAAGATTATGTTAATTTTTATTAGTTGTAAAAATTGGAGGTTGTTAAGCTAGCAATCGTAAGCAAAATTTATTAACTACAATAATATAATGAAATAAAAATACATAAATAATTAAAATGTTTATATAATAATAATTTAAATGATTTAAAAGTAAAATAAAGTTCCCAATTTTAATTTTATCTTATTAATTTTATATTATATTCATGGCTAATTTTAGTTTTGTACAAGTTTTATTTCTTTTTAATTTCGAGTAGGTGTAAATTGGAGAAGTTTTATGTTAAAATACTCACTTGCATATAAAACTGTATTGTTATGAAGCTATTTGTTGTTAAATTGATAATTGCTGTGCTGAGATTTGATTGTATGTATGTATATATATATCGTAGAACATCATAGAACTTTAAAGAAACGAACTAAAGGAATTGACAACATCGCCAAACTTATAAGTGTTAGACGTCCGTGTTTATTAACAACTCCTCAACGATAGTGCTCGCAAGAAGAGTGTGAGATCTCGTCCTGTTTTTAAAGATTGATATCCCCGTTTAGTTAGTTTCGGTTTCGTTTCCTTACTTGTTGTTTGCAGTAAACTGCCTTGTGATTTATGTCCTTAATAATAACTTTAATAAAGTATTTTGAAGACATTGCTTGCTGGTATGTATAATTTGTCATCCTATCCTGCGCTGTGAACAAACGAATTATCATTGGCTTATCGTTAAAAGTTAAATGATAAAAGACCTTAACCCTAACATTACTTACGTATTGTTGACACTGGACTTGGTGTGAATGAAGTTTGTCTAATCCTTCATTTTTCGTGTCTTTTTCCTTCTCTGGCACAAGTCAAAACCGCAGCTTTGACGTTTGCCACGCCTTCTGGCATGTGCAGGCTCTCTCATTTCAGCCAAAAGTTTGCGCGCATTTTTTGCAGCTTTTCGGTTTGTGGCAGCACAAAAACCATTTTACTAACACGAAACTAAATAAACCATACTTTCTTTCTTGATCTGAAAATCATTTTCTCCAAATTATAAAGATTTGGAGCAGGGGCCAAAGCAGTGTGTTGGGAACGTTATGTTGCCCCTCAACTACCAGGATCCTCCTTTCCGGCATATGGGACACCACGCATGGCAAACACGTGGGTGGGCATTCAGATCCCAGGGATGGTAAAGAAGAGTTACTAAACCATTTCTGAGAGGTCCCCTCACCACAGACAGGAACCCACAGAGGGGACGATATGATTTCAACATCGGAGAAAATTGGAGGAGAAGACCGCGTTGTGGAAATTGACGAAGCAAAATTTGGAAAATGAAAATACAACAGAGGAAGAATAATTCCAGGCCAGTGGATTTTTGGAGGTATTGAGCAGGAGTCTAAACGTGCTTTCCTTGTCCCTGTGGAATCTCGAGACAGCACGACACTACTTAATGTGTTGAAGGAGTGGGTTCTTCTGGGGACAACAGTTATTAGTGACTGTTGAAGGGCCTACGATTGTCTCCAAAATGAAGGCTATGGCCATTTAACAGTTAATCACACTTATAACTTCGTTGATCCTCAAACAGGCTCCCATACTGACCCAATTGAAAGATTGTGGCACACGGTCAGGTCAAACGTTCCCGTCAGCAGTCAACGAGAAGACCACATGATTGGATATTTAGCAGAACACCTTTTTAAATCAAAATATTCAAACTTAAATCAGCGTTTCCACCATGTGTTGCTTGCCGCTGCGAAGCTTTATCTGCCGGACTATTAGCTCCCGAGCAACTATTTACAAACAGCCATTTTCAAAGCTATCCTTTCGAAATAAAAACTCATAATTTTGTTTTTGTAATTTCAAATAGTTTCCTTTTATATTGTTTTCCTATTCTGAGTATTTTTTATTATTTTAGTTTATATTGAAATATGTAACAATAAATGTTTTGTTTTCCTTAATGCTGTGTTTGTATTCTATTCTTAAATGTTTAAACTAACTGTTATACAAATTTTTAATTTCTTCCCTAATGAAATAAGTAATACATTTAAAAATTTTTATGTATTAATTAAACTGTATAATTACCGAAACTAACTGACAATAAATATCTAAGTAGGCTAACATAACGCTGAATGATAAATTTAAACTACAATGTTCACATTAAACACTTCCTGATATGACCAGAGTTATTGGTACTGTACATCTAAGAAATTATGTGTAATTATCTTAAAAATACAGCAAAGCAAAACAATAACTTATAAGGTCTGTATAGACCCAAAGATTACATTCAGAATAGTTATTTCGAAATGAGCTCCTAATTATAAGATACAAACAGTATAAATAGATATTATTGAATAATTTACGCTATTATTTATTATGATTCTGTGTCTGCCTATTATCTACAAAAGTATCAACAGATTGTGTTACGTTAAGCAACTTTCCTTAGCCGTATAGACTACTATTACAACTATTACTTCTTTCCATCTTCTAATTTTTCTCCTTGGCGTTAAGAGGAAACATCTGCAGTTACAGTATTTTGAAACATTTTAATGATTGAACCTTGATAATTCTATATTGAGAAAATAAAACACTGAAGTTAATTTATAAATAACATATTACATATATAACATTATCTTTTTGATAATTTTTGTGGATAATCTTTTCATCAGTTCAGATTTGAAAAAATTAAAATCTTCGTATCAATTCAAAAATGTTGATTATAACTAATGTCAACGCAAAGAAAGTTATCTGCTTTATTTCAGTTAATCTAAAAGCAGTTTTTCTCAACCAAGCCCGTTATTAATTAAATAATACAAAACTGGACATCTTACATACAGTAATTTATACTGTATAATACTGTCATATAACTTTAGATTTTAAAATCAGACAGATTAGTTATATAAAACATATATGTTTGTAAATTTAGATATTAAATTTAAGCATTAATTATTAAAAGCATTTAATCTGAATTTTAAAGTAACTCAATTACTATTTCATTTGTTCAGTTTTTACAAAGTTAAAATAGAAAAATAAATCATTGTTGTCAAATATTAACTTGGAATTTCGATATACTGTAGAACGTTACGATGTTACGGAAGCGTAAGTATCAAACGTTGTCAAACTGTAGACCGCGAGCTGTTCGACATGACAAAAGAGTTAATCACGTGTTAATAAGTAGTTTGCTCTATCACGTGATTAGTGCAAAGAGAACGGATTCTTCCGTGAGAAGAAAAGCTACACAGAAACGCGTCAGAGACCTAGTCACGTGACATAGTAACATTAAAATAGGGTCACGTAACACAGTTTGTGTGGATCCACCGTCCAGTGTACACCTCCACGACGATGGCAAGCTTAAGCAATGGCATCTCGAACGAGGAACAATCGGTAAGTAGTGCTATAATTTTTCGTTTATAGCACTGTGTATACAGGTCGCCCGAAAAATGTTGTGTTTTCTGGATTTATATTAAATATACATTCTTTTAATATAATATAATTTTAAAAATTCATATTCTCTTAATCTGCACAATTACAGTTAACATTTTTGTTTTCCGATCGGTACTTCAAAAGTTACGGGCGTCTGTAATTTTTGTTTGGGTTGCATCGAGCCCCATAAACACCATCGATTAATTTTAAAGACGGTTTTAGACAGCTATTACTACCATCTAAGTTGTGTATAAATTTTGTTCGGTTATCTCTTACGGTTATTGAAATATTAATAAATAAAATATTTACCGTTAACAAAGAGCTACTCTGCACCACATGGTAGTTAGCCGATCGGCGTGGATATAGCCGTTCGGCGTCAGTCTTGCATAGAAGCAGGTAATTGTTTTTCCGGTTCCGTTCTTCGGTGGAAGCTTTAGACTAGCTTCCCCTATCTGTTCGGTTAGCACAGTCTGATTCGAATCGGCATGTTTACAACCAGACGTTTAGCCGTTTGGCATTCTGCTGTTCTTTCGGTAACAAATCGGTTCCACGTAAAATTAACTGTTACACATGTTTATTGTACTATTTACTAAAGGCTCAATGTCGATTGAGGCCAGAAATATTGTTAGTGTTAAAGTTATTCACTATACGCCGAATGGCGAATTCGAGCCAAACGACTATTGTGGTATTAATATTGGTAAAGAACGTTTTAACATCACTTCTCGATAACAATGGAATCTCATGAACCACCTGAGGAAGTGGAACAAGTAACCGTACCAGCTACACCTTCGGTATCGGCCATACCAAGTCCTTTGGTCAGTATACAAAATCTTAAAGACAAGATTCTGGGAGAAGCCAGTCAACACCTGAAGATGGTAATAGATCTTCTCCCCACAAAATACAAATCCTCACTAAACACCAAGGAATGAAAGGAGGTGAAAGACCGGGCACTACAGCTACATAGTTGTGTTTGCCAAATGTTTGGGATTCTGCGCAAAATGAGGGCCAAGCTAGAGGCCACTCCCGCACAGATCCTAGTCCAAGAACCACCCTCAACGAGGAAAACCTATGCACAAGTGGCCAGCGCTAATGTCGACATTAGACCAAGTCGCACAACGAGAACCATATCGGAATCGCTTCACACAAAAGTGCAGACTGAGGGCACTGAAGGAACCCACGCCGTCCTTCTGTACCCACAAGCCGTGGAGGAAAGACAAAAAAATCTATATGAACAAGGTTACATCAGAAATAATAAAAGAAATTAAACCTCACAAGCTAAAGATAACAGTTAAGGCTGTTCGTAGAATCAAGGCTGATGGAGTGTGTGTAAGGGTTGGCAGCGAGGGGGACAGCAGAGTACTAAAGGAAGCGATAGATGCCATACCAAATATACAATCAAAAATTAACTACAAGATATCAGAGGGCAGAAAGCCCAGAGTGATATTGTTAAACGTCCCAAATGCCATCACAGAAAAAGATATAATCAGCATAATGGCTAAACAAAACGACATATGGGAAAACAAGACAACGGATGAAATAATAAAATCATGTAAAATACGCACTATTCTCAAAACCGGCAGTTAAAGAGAACTGCCAAAACGTTGTCCTATCAGTCTCTCCGGCAATCCGAAACATCCTAATTCACCACAGACATATATCAATGTCGTGGTTTACAAGATACGTAGATGACTTTATACGACTTATCTGGTGCTACCAGTGCTGTGGTTTCGATCATTATGCACAGGACTGCACAAGTGATAAAAAATGTAGCCACTGCACAAAAGACCACAGCTACAAAGACTGCAATTGCCGGCAGAAGAACCCCATCTGTATAAACTGTAAAAAAGCCAACGAAAGCTTACCTGATAACAAACAAAGACCGGTAAATCACAACGCTTTCAGTAACAACTGCCCAATACTACAACGGCTGAAGCAACAAAACATAAACAGAACCGATTATGGCCTATAACCATCAAGAGAATGTTACTCAGGAAACCCAAACAGACAGCAACCAGGTCAACAACAATACAACATGCACCAGCCATACGACAACAATCAAGATCCTCCAGCTAAACGCCCAAAAGAGCAAAGCTGCATGTTCGCTATTGATAAAGACGGCAAGCAAAATAGAAAGTGATATTATAATCATCCAAGAGCTGTACACGATAGACAATAAGATCGTCCGATTTGGTAATTGGCAGGTCCTTGCAGGCCACTCCACCTATAGGCCGAAATGCGGTATTATAGTCTGTAACCCAGAGATCTGGACATAGCCCTCATTCCTCAAATCAGCTCAGAAAATATCTGTGTCGCTATCATGCAGCAGCCAAGTCCATTATATATCATTAGTGTTTACCCCAAGGGGTAAACACTAATGACCAAGGGTTCTCTCTAAAAGTTGGACCCTTCCATAAAGGTCCCGTTCGTCCAAGATCTCTCTCCAATTCACACAGCCAGATTGACCAGAAACTGGCTGGAACGTCAAAACAACATCGACATCTTAAACTGGCCAGGAAGGGGAGCTGATCTAAACCCAATTGAACATCTGTGGGAGGAGATAGCAAGGGAGCCATTTAATGCTTCCACACCGAACAAACTCCGGGAAGCCCTTTGTCAGAGATGGGAAAGATTTAGCAGCACAAACATTTGACAAAAGCTGGTAAATAGCATGCCAGACAAAATGAGAATGGTAATTGACAACGCCTGCTTTTGGACGAAGTATTAAAGATCTTCGCAACGTTGCTTTAAATGTTGATTTTCTTCTTCGGCAATGAATCATTCACGACCTTTTCCCTTTTTTGGTAAAATCATTCCTCTTTCAATATTCTGTTTGCAGATATTAGTAACTGTTTGTCTATTAAATTTAAACATTTTTGTTATCTCTTCGACTGTTTTCCCTTTTTCTCTACAGCCTAATTAAATGCAATATTTGTGTATGAAGTTTTATTGTATATATTAGTATATTATTAGTATTAGTTGAAATTCTTAAAACAAATAAAAAGTATAATTATAACTAAATCATAGACTGATCATTAAAAAACGCACTTCTTTCTTCAAAGGATAACTATCCTGAAAAGAAAGCATAACCAAAGTTGCCATAAAATACTCTATTACATCCATGAGATGTGGATTAAGAACTCATCTTTTCATCAAACTCAGAAAAGATCATATCCAAAATATAAGAAACTTGGTCAATCCAATTATGCTTACTAGAATGAGTTTGCATTTTTTGATATAACATTTTAAACAAATCTGATGGTAACAAATCAGTCTCTTTTGTAGTAAAGTTAATCATTCTTGAAAATGCACTTAATATAAATTTATTTAGATTTAAGAAACCATTGAGTAGCTCCCTAAATATGTTTTTTTTGTTTGCTTGATATTTAGTAAGTTTATAAATGAGAATAACTGAATTATAGGCTTTATTAAACTTCTAATTTGATATGATTTCAATATTTTTATTGGATACTAAGACCATAATTAATTTCAACTATACAGAAAAATTTGGCAATATATCAAAGGAACTGATAAAAGTTCTTATGAAAAAGAACAGATTTTGAAATAAAATGCATATAAGATTGAATTCTTTATCTTTATTTGATAATTCTTATAACGTTTTTCAATATTTCATGTCTATGTTTGAAACAAGAAATAAATGAACAACACAATAAGTAAATCATTTAACATATACTTTTAAAATAAATCGTTTATAAATAATTACTTTTATATATAAAACACTTTGTTAAATTTTTTATGTAAAAATATCTGTAAAAATGGCCTCGATACACACAGGTATCTTGTCATTCAACGGCACCTTCGCTACATAAATATTGGGCAAGTTTGTCACGTAAGGGTGCGACTAGGGGGACACGAATTTAGTAGCGAGTGATATAGTTCTCACAAAGGAAAACAATGCACAAGTGAAAAGCAAGATTTCTCACTGGCAAGAGCAAATTTCTGGCTCTAGCACATATCTGACAAGGTTTGATATTTCTTGCGTCCTGCCAGTTCTTGCTAAACAGTGTGCATGCACCTTTGAAAAAAGTACAAAATGGCTTCTTCCAGTGAGCAAGATGGCGGACCAGCTGTAAAAGAAAAATTAATAAGTAATGAGTATGTACACCCAGAAACATGAGATAAGCATCTTCCCGATCACAGAAATCGAACATAATATATACAAAATGGAATGAAATAGTGGAAGAGACTCAATTAGATGGTAAAATAGAAAAAAATAGAGAATAAAAATTCTGTAGTGTGTATAATCTGTTTAATATATGTTCAGAATTACTTCATTATATCGCGTTGTCAGATATACCGTGCTTTTCTTTATCTTTGGGGATATGCAATATAACTAGAAGCTCTTGTAATTGATGTCAAAACATAAAATTAATAATTTATTTCTGAGTTAAATTATACAGTAGTTGTTAATAAATTAGTTTTTATATTTGCAGTATCCAGATGCAAGAAGTTGTGGAAAAATCTGTGTGATCAGTTCAGAGGTATCCACAACAGCTTGCCAAGAAGTGGAAGTGGCTTAGAAGCCAAAAAGCCTAAATGGTTATTCTCTTCACAGTTACAGTTTTTAGCTGATTGGTAGTAACTAGAGAGTAAGAATCTTCACATTAATATTTTAAAATAATGATAGAAAACCACTAATAAAATAAAATTTATTTCAGGTACAAGTAGAACATTTCATATAATATTGATAGTATTATTATACTTATCTTCCAGAACACATTCAACAGTTGCAGAAACAGAAACAAACGAAAATACACAACCAACTGTATCAGAAGTATGTATTACTTTTGTATTTTTGTAATCTTTAAAATTATTTTTATTGTTGTATTTTTAAATCTGAAATACTTCAGAATTTAGAAAATATCACTGGTTCTGAATCAGCTGTATGTGATGTTGTAAATATTAAAGAAATTTTACCATCCACATCACATCCAAAGAAGAGGAAAAGCTTCATCAGAACAATTACTAAAAGAAATTAGTAATGTAAATAGTTGAAAATATATTTTTTTATAAATTTTTGTCAAACATGTATAAATTACAATTCAGAACATTAAAAATTTATTTCTTTGCAGAAAACTGAATGACTGTCAAGCAAGTCCCTTTGCACTATATCTTGACAGTTTCTTGATGCAAGTGCCATCAAAAAAAAAGACAACACTGCAAAGGAACACTTATAGATGTAGTTAACAGTTTTATTGATGTAGAAAAAAAGTGATGTTTATTAATTAGTTAAACAATTTTGTTTATTTATTTTTCAATATATATTAGTCCATTGTCAAGATACATTCCCTTCTAAAATGAAATATATGGCAAATTTGTCTCTGATGTCTCCAGCCAATTTTAAAATATTGCATGATACATTTTGTTTGAATGGCTTCTGTTGCTCACACAATTCATTCGTGCGCCATGAACCGTTGCAAAATACAGCATAAGGATCTAAATAATCTCTGTATCCTTCTGGGCAATATGCTGCTTCATCTAGAAGACATTATGGAGGAATGTGTCCCGGAGAGATGTGACATCAATGCTTTAGTAGGGTATTCCTCAGAAGAATGGGAGAACGACGAATCCTTCAAATTCCACATGCTCTCGTCAGGAGTTTCCTGACGAGTTAGAAGATGAGGTGTATCTCGAGGTTCTGCCACCAGAACAACCTCTCCATCAATTTTTCCCTTCCTAGGGCAATCTGGCCCCAAGCATGTTCCTTCTGATTCTCATATCGAGTTTATTGAGGCTGTAATTGAAAGCCTGGCAGGAGAATCGATGGCGGAGCAAAAAGCTCTATTTCCTGAAAAACCCCGAGGTCTGGTAGGACTGATCAAGCTACCAGGAAAATTGGCTTATCAGTGTATTGTCTGTAGCTCAAAAAACAAAAGAAAAACTACTACAAAAGCATGCAGCAGATATGGTAGGGGTGTTCATGCCAACTGCCTGGTCAAACATTGCTGCTAGCACACAAACGTAGATGCATAAATTGATATAATTCTGCTTTAGCTTTATATGTGGATAAATTTTGCAAAATGTACAAAATTAATAATCTCTTTCTTACAGATATCATCATATGTTCACTACTTCACTTTTTCCTGAAGCATATCTGCTGGCAGAGAAGGTAGGTGGTGGATAGCTTGAAACAATAATCTGATATATTCATTATTTTTATATGCATAATTCTTGCAAAATGTACAACATGATGTTTTCTCTTACAGTTTGGTTCCAGAGAGATCTTTCCACTTCCTTCATCCATTTTCTACTATTTTTTTATTTGTATATTTGTTATTTATTGTTAAGATTGGATTATTAAATACAATATTTTGCATAAGGTACAAGCAGAATTTTGACCTGGCCGATTTTGTCAGGATAAAATATTTATAGTAAATGCATTTGTACAATTAAAATTGCAGAAAAAGAGAAAACAACTGTATGCTGTTTTTGTAAACTTTCAGTCTGCAGACCGCTAATCATAAAGTTGTATGGTTTCTATTAGAATAAATGAGAATGAATTAATTTTGCATATATCTATGTAAAGTTATTTCATTTGATGAATTCTTCTGTATTACTTTATGCTGCTCCTGTATGAACAATTATTTATTACAATAAACTGGAAATGGTCCTTGCTTTACATCTTGGAAGAACTGCTATCTTCTACGATAAAATTCCAGGTTACATGTTACATCTGGAATTTGAAAATAAAAAAAAAACGAAATTATAAAAATGTTACAGACCAATTTTCCCACAAGTTCTAAATATAAATATAATAGAAATTACAGTGTTCTACATACTGTCTTTTCTTTCATATGCTTTGCCAAAAAGAAGTCGTCATCAAGCAGTAGATTTTTTTCATGAGATTATTTGAAGACAATAACTGCAGTATTAATTCCTAACATTATACATAAAATGTTGTAACATTAAGTAAATAATGAATTTCAAATATAGACTATAAATATACGCAGTATATTCAATTATAATCAGGGATATCAATCGATTTCTGCGCTTTCACAAAAATCCTTCAAACTTTCAACACTTGGCATACATACTTCGCAAGAGTTGACTTACTAGGCAAACGAAGCAGCTTTCTAACACGAGCATTTGGTAATTTAATCTTACCTGTTGTTACTGGAAAACTTAATTTTTTGAAAGACAACACATTTTGTCACAAAGATGCCTCTTTTTATTCTGGTTACGGTGCAATGGTTATGCTTATGGAAAATATTCACAAGTGGTATAGACTACAGGATATAAGTAACTGAAATAAACATCTGTTGTCCATACTGCCAAACAAAAGACAATTTTCTGAAATTAATCATAAATGGCTCAATTTGGCTGCAGTCAGAGTTTCTTTCTTACATGGAATCAATGAAAAAAAAATGCAGTAATATGAAAATGCAATTTCTCACAAAAGAAACTTACAATGCTCTCTACCTGACAACACTCAGCACAGTTGATGTTGTAAAGTACTTGGAAAGGGTATCCCAGACCCCCTGCACAAAGTTGTGACATTCTGAAACCACACCTCTCCATCGCACCCTGAACGACCGTTGAATTAGAAAAAACTCCATCACTCATAAAGCCTTACCGCTTATCCCTAATGCCTCCATCTTTTCCAGAAGCCCATATTGACGCACAGAGTCATACGCCCCCTCCAAGTCCAGACCTATCATATGAGTCCACTTGTGTTGGGTGCGGGCCATTGCTATTTCATGATGGACCACTACGAGAGCTTCCTTGACATCGCGATATGGGAGAAACAGACAGAGCAGGACAGATTCTTTTTGATTGATGTCGACAGCAAAGCTCAGGTGCTTAAATACGGGGGAGCCGACTCATTTCAGCGCTGGCGAGAGCACAGCAATCGACATCACAATGTGCTCGACTGACCTGTTAGGGGACATACAGTGGGAACTTAGTGGGGATGAGCTAAAAAGCGACCATACCCTGTTAGTATTTCAGTAAAAATGAAGGAGGGCCCTTAGAAAGGTACAGAATCCTGAATCCAAAAAAGGACAGATTGGAGCAAGTACACCAAGTGTATGAGACAGAACAGCAAACTCGGTCCTCGCACTTACCAGGGAATGCTGGGGAGAATATGGCAGGTGGTTTTGTATACAATGGAGGTTTATTGGTTGGTTAATTTTTATTGGCACAAAAGCCATGCAGGCTATACTGCGCCACAACAAATGGTATGATTGGATGTATAAAATAAATGAAAAAAAAAACATATATACAGAACAGTTTAACCATTCAAAAGCCAATGGTGATATATATATAGAATCTATAATATAATAAATAAATAAATAAATAAACAACAACAAAAAATAAAAACAAACAACGAAAATATATACAATAATTTAAATATGCAACACAAGGTAAATAAAACTATACAATAAATAAATCATTATATTTCTCTATACATGTTAATGACTTTCAGAAAGTCCAGTATATTATCCAAGTTTGGCCTCTGGCCCAAAATGTCTCTAAAGCTTGCATTTCCGAAATGCTGTCTACGACTCTGATCAAAAGCAACACAGTTGCAAAATATGTGTTTAACACTTACAGCACAGTTGCAGTGCTGACATACTGGTTCGTCATCTCCCTTCAAAAGGTATTGATGAGTCAGTCGTGTGTGTCCAATTCTCAAACGAGTAAGGATAACCTCAGATCTCCTATCATATTGCCTATTATGTGTCCAATTTTCTACCGAAGGTTTGATCTCGTGAAGTTTATTGTGGATTTGTGCATTCCACACATTTTGCCATCTCTCTGCTAGTCGTTTTTTAACGAATAGCTTCAAATCACTGCCTTCAATACGCATTGTATGCTGTGAACGACTTGCTGACTTAGCGGCTGTATCAGCTTCTTCATTACCTCTTATACCCACGTGGCCTGGGACCCAACAGAACTTCACAAATAAATTTCTTGTAGTGAGATGACAAATTAGTTTCTGAATTTTAATCACTATAGAGTGAGAACTAGGTTCATACGAGGTCAAAGCCTGAAGTGCACTAACTGAGTCAGTGTAAATAACGCAGCAACGATGACCTTTCCGATTTATATGCTTTAAAGCTAAGTAAATAGCCTGCAACTCCGCAGAAAAGATGAAAGAATTCGGTGCTATTTGTTCTGCCACAATTTCATCCTGGCAAACAAAGGCTATACCAACATAGTTATCGGACTTAGATCCATCGGTGTATATAGGAATTAAATTCCTGTTACAATGCTGAATTTCTGCGAAGTGCTGTCTATAGACGTAGTCTGGTGTGGTTTCTTTAGGGAACTGCTTTAAGCTTAAATCATCATCGATCGGTGAAGATGACCAAGGTGAAATACTATTAACCTCAACATGTGAGATGTTGCTTGTGTCTAGGTCAATCGTGCTGCTTACATTCTCCATTCTTATGTTGAATGTGTATACAATGGAGGTTTCACGAGCCCCGCCACAGGGCCTTCCGCTGCGGTGGACAATATCTTGTGTATAATGAAACCATTTACAAAGAATTTATCAACTTTGTGAACAGTACGGGGGCACTGGATCTTCGTTAAGGGTGACCCATGGTTAATTCCTTTCTATCTTAATTGGGATTAAGCCCCGATACCGACGGTGCCACTTTTTTGCACCTGATTTTTGGTATCGTCAGGGGGCAGGATTGGCCATGGTGTCACTCAGTGCAACTTTTGTACTTTTGTATGTATTCAGGTACACTATGTAATTATTACTTTTGAATAACAAGTCAACAAACTGTTTACTCTCACTTGTCTGCATGCTGCATAGGTAACAGCATCCCATCGCTGCCAGGGTCTTGGTAGCATCTCTTCTCACGTTTTGATGTCTGTTTCTGTTATGTAATCCTTTTCTGTGTGGCAATAATCCAGAGTCTACTTGCAGGTTGTCAGTTTTTATTGTGTTTTCTGAATTTTGTTTGCCGCGAAACCTTTTGTCGGGATTATTCTGTTCACATTTTGTTATTGTTCTTTTATTTGTATTTATTTTTGGTTAAAAAAATGGACCCGGTGCAGCTCATGAGCCGTCCTCCCTCTTCTCTTTTCCCTTCACACTTTCCACCCCTTTAGGACACTCCCAAACCCCTTTCTCTTCTACTTAACCTTCTCACTTCTCTTCATTTCTTAAGGATATACCTAAATAGGTAATGCCTTCTGCCTCTTTCTCTAGTATGTCTAGTATGTGGTGGACAATACAGTGTCGGAGGGCAAGGGCAAAGAAGAAGAGGGCATTTCGACTTGCAAGTAAACTGGTGTCACAAAGTTGGTGGATGAAGTATAAAAAACTTGGAGCGAAGCTAAGAAGGATCGTACGGCGGTCGCGCTGAGAGTGGTGGAACAAGACATGTGGTTGGCCACTTGACAAATCATCAATATATCAGATTTTCAGACGTCTAAGAACCAGTCAGGAAAATGCAGATGACTATAATGTTCTTACAAATCCAGAGGTGTTGGTCGAGCCTTACAAACAGGCGGAGGCATTGGCAAAATATTTTGGTCGACCCAGGATGCAGGGGTGCTTTGCACCTCAAAAAAATCCAGGTCAGCCAAGCGAGAGAAAAGGGGAAAACCTTTTTCGCAGTTGTGTCAGCTTCTTCATTTCCTCTTATACCCATGTGGCCTGGGTCCCAACAAAACTTTATAGAGGAGTTGTACGTAGTAAAATGACAAATTAGTTTCTGAATTTTAATCACTATAGAGTGAGAACTACGTTCACACAAGATCAAAGTTTGAAGTGCACTAACTGAGTCAGTGTAAACTGCGCAGCAGTGATGACCTTTATTATTTATATAGTTTAGGGCTAAATAAATAGACTGCAACTCCGCAGAAAAAATAGAAGAATTTGGTGAAATTTGTTCTGCCACGATTTCATCCTGGCAAACAAAGGCTGAGCTAACATAGTTATCTGATTTAGATCCATCAGTGTAAATAGGAATTAAATTCCTGTTACAATGCTGAATTTCTGCGAAGTGCTGTCTGTAGACGTAATCTGACGTGGTTTCTTTGGGGAACTGCTTTAAGCTTAGATCAACATTTATCGGTGGGGTTGAGTAAGTGGAATACTATTAACCTCAACATGTGAGATGTTGCTTGTGTCCAGGTCAATCGTGCTGCTTATATTCTCCATTCTTATGTCGAATGTAAAAACACAACTTGTCCAAGCAGCAAATAACCTTTTTAGCTGAGTGTCTGAGCTATTAGCTGAAAGTTTATTCAGAGATTTCTGTTTGCTGTAGTAAAAAAAAGACAACTATTCTCTCCTCAGAGATATTGGAGGTTCATAAGCATCCACATACAAACTTTGGACAGGAGAAGTTCGAAATACACCAGTACACAAACGCAGTGCTTGATGGTGAATTGGATCCAGCATCCGAAGAGTAAATTCTCACGCAGAGCCATACACAACACATCCGTAATCCAGCTTTGAGCAGACAACAGCCCTATGCTAATGAAACAATTGCTTTTAGACAATAAGTACCAGGAAGAATTATTGCAAGAAATGGTGGTTAATTGGCCACAAAGATCAAGTGACTAACATGTCATTGGTGAAACAGAGCTTCAATTATGTCAAAATGTAATAAAATATTTTAACAAAAAAGCACTGTAAAGCAGCAAGAGGTACTCATTTGTCAGATATTTTCTTTCATACATAAATGTCATAACTGAAACATCAATTACAAATAAAAAGTTTTTAAAAATCAATGTAAATTATGTCTTTTATTTATTTCTAAAAGAAAGACAATCAATGTGAAAAACACTTTACATATAAACAAAGACACTGCTTTACTTTTCTTAGAATATGGAATGGGAAGATATTTAACATCTAAGGCAGGGATGGCGAACTTTTTGAGTCTGCGTACCACATAGTAAGCACATCAAGCATACTTTTATTCAAAAATTATTGTGTGCGCAAAAGTTTTAGACTTCTATTAACTATATTTAAATTTGGCAGAATGACCAAGCAGTCAAAGTGGTAGCTTATCGCTCTTGTAGACCTGAGATCAAAACCCCAGAAAATTTTCAGGTGGTGATCTCACTGTTCAAATTTGAAGCTAGCTAAACAAACAAGCTCTCTTAGTGCCCACAGGGCAAAGAGAGTTTTCAAAAACTATATTTAAATAAATAAAATAATATGCTGTAATTAGAGTAAATGTAAAGAACCTGATTGAAAAAGATAATAAACCGATATCATATAATACATTACATGGATGATTTCTTCGACGTGCCACTTTGGGCACGCATTCCATAGGTTCGCCACCTCTGTTCTAAGACAAAGATTTTAACATTTGATTCTGTTGACAAAGAAGTTCATGGCAAACCAACAGTTTTGATGTTACGTATCCAAGATGAAGAAACTGAGATAAAAATTATTACATGAATAAAATTTGTTAACTATCTACTTGACACAACTCTGTACAACAAGGTAAACATCTAAAAAGTAGTCTACTTATGGCTTGTGCGAAGCATACTGCTATCTTGTATTCTCATCTTAAATTTGTTCTGTGTGTTGTTTGTATTGTTTACCTGGCCATCGCCAAAGAATTTTCACGTCTTTGCCGTGTAGATACCCATATGCTGAAATGCAGGTAATCACCCTTCAAAAGGTATTGACGAGTCAATCAAGTATGCCCAATTCGCAAACGGGTAAGGATAACCTCAGATCTCCTTTCATACACTATGTTACATGTCCAATTTTCTATCAATGGTTTAATCTCATGTAGTTTATTGTAGACTGGTACGTTCCACGTTTTGCCATCTCTCTGCTAATCGTTTTTTTAATGACCAGCTTCAAGTCACCTTATTCAATAAGCATTGCATGCTCAAAAGTACTTGCTGACTTTGCAGCTGATTCAGCAACATCAGGAATTGGACATACTTAACATATGAAGAGTGCTCAAGAGAAGCACAAGATAGATCATGGTGGCAAGAAATGGTTGTCAACCTCCTGACAGAAGACACCTAAAGAAGAAGAAAATTTGATGCAATGTATAGCAATTTAGTCAACAGTGTAAATGTTTAAAATATGTCTTTTAGAGGTTTAGTAAAGTTAATTGACTTTTTATGTATATATCAAAATAAGAAGTTATAGAAAAAAAGTTATTTTAAAAGCATTTGTTATATTGAAAAATTACTGTGATATAGAATTCTGTTTTAATAAATTTTGAAGGTAAGTATTTATTACTATTATTATTATTTAATATGAGTGATCATTGATTTCAAGGCATTTGCACTTCACAATGAAAATCTGTTTAACACACAGTTCAGTAAGATTAGGTTGTAACAAGTTATTTTTTTAAATTTAACAGTTAGACATACAAAATAGATTCTGGTAACAAAAAATTCTCCTGTAGTAAGTATTAAAATAATTTATAATAAATATCGTTTTTCTTTGTATATGTCTATATTTAATTGAGATATTTTAATATAAATTAGATTTCAACTCTCAAAAATTTCCAAATGGTATGCATTAAATTTATTTTTTTATTAAAATTAATACAGGGTATTATAATACAGTTTTTGATATAGGCATTATCTTTGTTTACAATTTTCGATAAAATTTTACTCTGACATTAGGATAAATTTGATAGCCGAACACAATATATTAAACTTATTGTTAAAATAAAATTTATTTACAAACTGTTCAAATGATTTATAATTCCTTGTTTTCATCTGTATAAATGTGTGATAAATTTAGTGAAACAATGTGTCGCCAACTCTACAAAGAGTACGAAATAGGAGATGATAGCACCAATAACTAAGATTTATCAGACAACGTAATACTCCAGTTATCATGGATAGAGTCTGATGATGGCTTATTACAAAGAGGGTGGACTTGGCGTTGATAAAGGGGACAGAGACCTATGTCAAACAACCAATTAACAAGTGTTTCTGAATTACCACTAGGTCAAACTCATTTTAATAAATTTTGATGATCAAATTTGTAATCATCTTTTAATTGTCTTAGTGTGAGATCTGAAAGTTCAGGGGAGGGTCATTTTAATCAAAATAATAAGTTGGAGAAAAAATTTAAAATAACAGAAAATAATATTTTAAACTACAACAAGATTTTATCTAAAAGCAGAGGAAACATCAGATTTTTGAAAGGAATTTGATTCCCTTTCCCAGGCCAACTCATGATGAGTCGAGTTTTGCACACGTTACTGAAGACCAAATAAAAGGGACATTTTCCCCGCCATTCGAGGCAGTCCATCAAAGGAAGTTTGCCTTACGAAATAAGTCCAACATACGATAAAGGCAGTCCGTCGAAACGAAATATTGCCACGCAAGAAATCTGACATACGCAGTCCGCTGAAGAAGGTATTGCCATATGTAGGAATTTGATATACGACATAGATTGTGCATCCAAAGAAGTCATACAAAAATGTTAAACTAAAGATA